TTCGCCCAAATCGGAATGGATTTCCTGGGCCCATTCCCGACTTATAACAAAGGGAACAGATGGATCATTGTCGCCACTGATTACTTGTCTCGCTACGCAGAAACTAAAGCAATGCCGAGGGCCATAGCAGCAGAAGCGGCTCATTTCTTCATAGAAAGCGCCGTCGTTCGGCAAGGTGCTCCAACAGTTCTCATCGCGGATAGAGGAACTGCGTTCGAGGCAGAACTTTTGGAGTTGGTTCTCAGGCTCAGTGGTACAGCTCACCGGAGAACTACGGCGTACCACCCACAAACGAACGGACTAACAGAGTGGCTTAATAAGACCCTCGCAGACATGCTCTGCATGTATGTCGACACAGAACACAAGAACTGGGACGAAATCTTGCCTTATGTGACCTTCGCCTATAATACTGCCCGGCAGGAAACTACCGGAATGACGCCGTTTAGTTTAATACACGGGCGCGAAGTCACTACAACGTTAGACGCTATGCTGCCGCACGAGTGTGACGACACTCACGCTGACGCCGAAGAATTTGATCAGCGTGCCGAAGAAGCCCGACAGCTAGCCCGCGTGCGTATTTGTCACCAGCAACACAAAGATGCGAAACGGTACGACCTACGACATAAATTGGTAACCTACAAACCAGGCGACAAGGTATGGGTCTGGATCCCAATACGTCGACGCGGACTTTCCAAAAAGCTATTACGACGATACTTTGGCCCATATCGAGTCACCCGACGATTGAACGACATCAACTACGAAGTTATTTCCGACGGCGATTGCAGTTCCAGTCACCGAAACTGCTCACCCGAAATCGTGCATGCCGTCCGGATGAAACCCTACTTGTCCAGCTAACTCTCGTTTGTCCTGTGCGTGCCGGAGCATATGTGCCTTTTTATAGGTAGAGTGCCTTGGCTGCGCATCAGGACGATGCCATTTTTGGAGGGAGGCAAATGTCACGTGCATCCCACGAAAAAGACGAAGGCGACAGCGCATACGCGCATCTGCACGCTTTTATGCAGAATGCAACAAAGAGAAAGATGAGCTCTCTCGCGCGTGGTTAACAAAACGACCGACCCGCTGCTGTTTTCTCAGTGTCTTCGAGTACGACCTCTCTCTTGACGTCGCGACAATATCAATCTCTGACTGTCTATCACAGGCGCTCATCCAGTCCGGTCTCTACTAAAAAGTCTGTCAGTAAGATGATTGCCTTTTGTCACAAACGAGCGCTCTGAAAAAAGCGCGCGCCACCGAGTTTCAGTTACAGTAACGATACCAAGCACAGAGAAGCGCCTCAAGGTCAACAATAAAAAAGGAAACAAACATCCAAAGACTCCCTGGGCACGCCCGCTCCCTCCCCTCAGAAGCGTCGTTCACCGACTAACCTCCTCACATCGGCGGCCGAGCAAGTCCTGGAAGGTTCTCGAGAAAAAGGGGCGTGGTGATGCGGAGTTGCGTCATGTGTCGTGGACGGCCCTCGAAACTACTCGTGCTTTCTCCAGCCTTCGCTGCGCATCACGCCGACGGAAACGATGAGAATTTTCTGGAATCTAGCACGTAAGGGTATTTAGCCGAGCAGTAGAGATGGGAGATCAGAAGAAAAATGAATTTTGCGCCAGTGTGCGTAGAGTGTTCCTGCCTTGTCGGCGAAGCCTTTTGTCCTCAGTGACAGAGGAGAAAAGGGAATGTTGCGCTAGTGTGCGTAGGGTCTTTCCGCCGTGTGGGTGAAGCCTTTTGTCCTCAGTGACAAAGGAGGAGAAGAAGAGAATTTCCACCTCAGGGGTGAATTCTCGTGCTACAGGCAGGAGCGTGTGTCTACCGCCAGCGAGCAAAGACGCGTGGCAACAGCTGCGCGTGTGAAGCGGACGTGCTAACAGCGAAGAAGTTTGGTGCTCGGAGAGCGGCCAATGAAAACGCGAAGTTTCCTGGAAAAGAAACTTCGGGGGCAGCGGAACGACAACAGCGCTGGACATTGAGGGAGTGATTCTCGGAAGAGTATCATTCCGACTTTTGTTCCTAGGACTTTGGACTGAATAAGCTTTCGAACACTTTTGTATTTAAGTGTCTTGGTTGTTCGATGCATGCGATTGCATTGTAGTGCGTATTGTTGTTGTGTCCGTTGTTTCGAATGTGGCTGAATGTACTGTGTAGTACGTTGTTTGATTGGTGACATATCGTATTCAACTATTGTGGAGTGTGCGTACTTGTGTATCGTTTTGATCTGCCATAATTCAGAATATAATTTTGTTTTGTTTATCAACTCTTTGTTCTTGCTTGTTCTTTGGGCCACAGCTGGCGTCCGCTGGCGCGCCAAATAGGACCACTTCTAAATTGTCCAAGCTTTCGTGGTGCAGTACGGCGGGCCGATATTTCGGTCCTTGGAATTAGCCCGGCGATCGCCTCCCTAATTAATGGAACCTGTGACACCTTTTTCTGAAGATGCATCTCAGGCAATAGTCCAAGTAAATTTATTGATGTGAGGGGCCGTCTGTAAAACTTGCTGATTTGTTCTTTAGGTTTCTCTTGCATTCGCGTATTTAACGCACTCCAAAAGAATATAGCGAACATTTTCTTCTGCATGACCCAATGGCATTCCGGGGATTTGGATCGATGTATTCTGTGCAGGAAGCCGTTTGTGTGTGCTACTTGCAAGCGAAGTCTGTAGAATAATGTCTAAGTGTCGTGAGAGATCTGTCGCTATAAAAACATTTTCTGTGTAGATATACTTCATAAATTACTGATTCCTTTGATTTAGGGCTGTCGAACCACTTCTCTATAGAACAATGCTTAGCTCCTTGCGTTATAAAATGTCGAATATCCGCCCCAGACATACTGATTGCGCAATCCCGTCCTTCGTTCAATGCTTTCGTGGCGAGGCTGTCAGCCTCTTCATTTCTCTTTATTCCAATGTCACTCGTTATCCATTGGAATACGATGTTGTGACCCTGCGCTGAGGCATATTCCACAGTTTGTGCAATACATTGTGCAAATTCATCGTTTTTGTAAAGTGATCTCAGATTTTTTATTTGCCGAAAGACAGGTTCGCTATACGTGCATATCACCCACTTTCGTGGCTCAAAATTCTCGCTTTAAGCTTAACTGCTTCAAAAATAGCCACCAATCCTGCTGTCGTCGATGAATATTTGTGCAATAATTTGTAAATCCCTTTTTTGAATTTTGAATTTAAAGACCGCACAGGCTTACGCTTTTTCGGTGCATAATCCATCTGTATATATCTTTGTGACAGAGCGCTAGAGGGATATCAAGACATACATAATGAGAAAGAAAATAGAACTTGTGTATATGCCAAAACGAAGATATATACACATGTTCTCTTTGTGTCTCATTATATATCTCTTGATATCCCTCTAGCGCCCCTGTCACAAAGCGTTTAAGAGCGCGACATCAGACAGGCTGGCAGTGCAGCCGTACTTTGCACAATACACTGGCAGGTTACTTCCCACACCCGTTTTTTAATCAATTAGCATGAACTGGTAACCGACGATTGATGCACTGCACAGCTTATCACCCATAAACTTATTCGCAAGCCCCGCCGCGGTGGTCGAGTGGCTAAAGTAGTCGGCTGCTGACCCGCAGGTCGCGGGATCCAAACCCGGCTGCGGCTGCTGCTGCATTTTCGATGGAGGGGAAAATGCTGTAGGCTCATGTGCTCAGATTTCGGCGCATGTTAAAAAACCCCAGGTAGTCAAAATTTCCGGAGCCCTCCTCCACTACGGCGCCTCTCGTGATCATATGGTGGTTTTGGGACGTTAAACCCCACATATCAATCAATCAAACTTATTCGCACGAACGTCGGATTTCATAAACGAAGCGAGTTGCGTAACTGGGGAAGGGTTTTTGTGTTACTTTGACCACGTGTAACTTCATTTTTTTTTCCAAGCACGGGGCGATGCATGCGACCCATCTTGACGGGCTCTGGTAACACTGCATGCACAGTTTTTTTGCCTGTTTGTTTTTTCTTTGCGACCTGACAGTCCTTATTAAGGATGTTTGCCCTCCTCGAAAAAGAGCCTCCCTCAAAGACGCTAAATAGAGGCATCGTCCAGTCTGCCATGCCAAGTTAATCATTCAGTTCGTAACCCCACTAGGTTTATTCCAGATTTTCAGACCGCATTCAGGCACTGACAGCAGCTGGTCACCCAAGACATCTACTATGCTCGTTCACAGAAAATGGTACTGCCGGAGGGGCTCGACGATTTGTTAAAAAATAGGGAGATAATCATCAACGTCACTAAAACTCCTTATACGTCCACAGCGCGTCGCATCGCATCAAGAAGGCAGCAGGCCGCGCGGGATTCATGTACTGTTCCCTGCAACCAATAACAGGGTCGCATGTGTCGCCTCGTGAAGGGGGGAAAAAGTTACATCCACATGTTCCAACCGACATACAAAGTCCTTCTTCAAGTGAACGGCTTTCGTCGCTTGTGGAATTAGATGTTCATGCGGAAAAGTGTATCTGGGACAGATTGGGCTGCATACATCAGTGGTCGGTTGCGAGAACGTGCAAGTTCTTTAGAAACTGCTGTGCGAAGCGAAATCACGTCACACTGTGGCAAACACGCATGCAACCGCCGTGTGTTTGACGTCACCCTACCTAAATACTATTTTGAGAGAAGTGATACAGTGATGTCTGAGGTGTCTACAATAAGCAATTAAGGGACAGCTCTATATAAGACATTTAAGGCTTGCACCTTGTTATTGAGCAACATGTAGTCCAGCTTTTCCAGTGCTGCTGTCAGGCTGTTTGGAGGTCGCTAACCCAGCCCTTTTAGGTGAATGAATCCTGCCGGTAAAGCGTCATCTTCAACCCCGGATGGTAAAAAATGAAATGAGATTGAATTGCTTAGAAAACTGGCTTGAAATTCAAGCGGCGTAAATAATTGACTCTACGGTGGTGATACATAACTCTTGCACTGAAACATAATGCAAAAAAAGAAGTATATGGATGGTGGTTACAGAACATGGGAGAAGCGAATACATGCAATATTGAACACCTTTATTAGGTCTAACAATTATTTGAAGCTCTCGTGATCAAGATGGCTCTTGCTTCCAAAGCAATTCCTGCAGCAAACAGCCGCGATGGCATGTTGATGAAGTTTATTGGGGCATGACTAGCCATCGCAACGACCAGAACTTCCACCACAGCGGGCAGTCTCGCTCTCCTGGCGTGCCTCGGCTTCCCCGTGCTCGCTGCGCCCTTCGCTGCCACCGCAGCGACCAGACTCGGAGCGGCCTTCGCCACCGCACGCCTCGGTGCCTGGATTCGAAAAATAGTTAAAAATACCTATGCAAAAATACTGCAGGTGATGCTAAAATGATTTTCACTGAGGGATAGTGCCTACGTGTGTAGAAATGTGCACCAAAGTATTATCGAGCGTGCAATTAGCTAGCTGACCGCCGCACAGCTTTCAGTAGTATACATGATTTATGAAACTAATTATTTGCCACTTCGTTGTCGGGGAAATTTCAGTCGGAATTAGTTATACACCTATAAACTTTGAGTACTAACAAGGCTGCTATTCCTCACGCTCATTCCATAATTTGTTCTCTCTATAGGCTGCCATCGCTTTAAAGACGGATTTTCAGACAGCATTCGACGTGCATCGTATACAACTTGATCGTGCTGCTATGATGACGGAAATGTGTATCACGCGTTCCTAGACTGACTGGAGCACATCTATGACAAACGTATTGACTCGAAGAGAAGCTCCATTATCTGCACTGATAGTGAGCCCTATTAGTCACCCATATATATGCCCATTACCATCTCGAGCCGTCAAAGCACAATGAACGCTCATCCATGCGTTTTTGAAGAGACAGCGGCACTGGTAATCAATATTTACTGCCCTATATCGCTAGTGTGAGAACTGAATGCAAGTGTAATTGTTTTGTTCTTTGGTGTTATTTGTTGTAAGCTAATAACCTGATACAAATGAAGCCATCGGTAATGAACACACAGAGGCCGTTCCGTTATTTCGGTTTCAATAAGGTGTATTGCAGCTGGAATGAGGTGTGATGTTCTTAGGAGTATGACCAAGCCAGTCATCTACTTACAAAATACACCATTACCGATTTGTTAAACGAGACAATCAGTACTTTCAGCGTTTATTTTTCGATCAATCGTTGTAAAATACTGTGACACTGGTATTCATTGAAACGGGGTGGTAAACTAAGGTAGAAACATCGCAAATACTTTTGAATTGAAGTGAGTACGAAGGAAAGATTGCTTGGAATGTGCATTATGTGTGGAATCGTCTAAAACTTCGTATAAGAAATTGTTACTGCAGGTGAATTTAACTATGTAAGTACTAGGTGGCAATTCGCATTTCTTCACACATACTTCTTTTTTGCCATTCTGAACAACTGAAATAACCCAGTTTTGCTAATTCTGTACATCAGCGTCTAAATAAGTATGCTAGTGCGGAGTACCACAGTGAAATATTCACCCGAACCTACCAAAATGTAGCAAAGTCTTAGTGTTTTTATTACTATTTGTCGTATATAAAGCTTTATTATTGTGCATTTGGTATACTGAGACATTTTTCGTGTAGCATATCTTCTAGTATTTCAAAATTAAATTATTATATACATAAACATTTAGGTTTTTGAGTTGGCTGAGGCCGCTTACTTAACTAGTTTCTTTGTCTAATATGTCATGTACCTAAGGTATACATATTAGGGGCATTCTCTAGGCGACCACATGAACATCATATTTTACATGTCATGTGTACACATACTTCAGCTGTGTAGCTTCAATCAAAATTGTATAAAGTCACACTTACCGCCTACTAATAAGGCGCAAGCCACCAGAGCAATCAGTACGGCTTTGGCATTCATTATTGCGTCGGGAGGATTTCTGTAAAAACAACCATGAAGTTATGGAGCTGTAAAAGCATTTCTATATAGACACATCATTGTTTTCGATTATAACTACGAATGTGTGCTCTTCGAAGTTCTCGGGCTGTGCAAAGAAAATGATTCTGAGCATCAATAACTATTTGGATTTTTCTTCGACAAGTTTAAATCACAGCACTTCAATAAGATGCATGCAGTCTAAAATCGCAAGTAGTCGGCTTAATGAGTACAGTTGATTTCATAGAAGACGCTTAGCCTTGTTTGCAATGTCCTTAACTTATGAATAATGCACCTAAAAAAAACCGGCAAACCTCGCATATAGGTAAAATCGATGAGGTCGTACTTACTACTGCTCGTCTTCAGATGTTGAACAAAAACTTGTAGTGTAGCCGTTAGTGTGAGCATATTTAAACAGTTTTGCACAGGAAAACGACCGAGAATTCGGTGCGTAACTCTGTGACGTCATTGTAATTTTCCACCATTCTAATCGCGGGGATAGTGAGATAAAAGGCAGAAAGGGAAATATTGCTGTTACTCTGACTTTATTGGCTAGTTTCTGTGCAAGCGTGTCATGCAGAGACAGGTGTTTGTTCGAATGATGTACGGTTGCACTCCGAGAGCGCCTATTCCAGATACGGGGGTCTAAAGTAGAGGTCAATGAAAATATTTGTCACGCTGTAGAGACCGATGTGCCAAGCCCATTGTACGCATGTTTCTTGCGTGTGGTGCGTCTAAAGCTTTAACTTTTGTGATTTGTTAGGCACAATAGTTATGACCTGTTTAGTCATTCATATGCCATGAAGGGTGCAGAATAAAGTGTCAAATAAATAGTAGTGAACTGGTTTTAACATCATGTGAACTTTAGGATTTTTATTTACTAACCTAACCCACAACGCTAACTCAGCTTCTTTGGTATTGTGACGCTATGCCAAATAAAGTGGGTTAAGCTTCTCCGATATCAAGTGCAGCCTTGCGTTTTGGAACTTGTTAAAGAAACCCTGGTAATCAAAATTATCTGTACTTCTCCAATACGGTGTTCTTCTAAATAATAGGGTGGGGTGGGGGGGGGGGGGAGTAGTGTACACTTTTCGTAATGACTATCTGAAAAATTTCATCTCGTGAGAAGCGTTTTTAAAATTAACCCGTTGAATAGCAAGGAATTCTACATAGCAAACTTTCCATCCGCCCAAATTGGCTAACATAGTTTGTTGGGTGCCTTAGCTAAAGATAGTCATTGGTCCTCGTTTGAATTGGCATGCGAAAAGTCCTTACATGTGAAATCAATGCTGCAAGTTGAGGATGCAAAATACGCAAAAAATTGTTGCGCAGACTTTGTAGTAGATACGAAGTTATGACAGAGCGCTGAGCTATAGTAGACTAGTGGATGTTAACTACTCTCAATCTCATAAAAAACGAAAATTCAAAACGTAAAGAAATATTGTCGTCTTTTGTATGTTTTCTGTTCCTGAAGCTGCTTTTCTTCTAACGCACCGGAATAGAAATTGCAGATCATAATCTTTCTGCCACAAAATCAACTACACTTATACTTTGCTACACACATCAGTGCCATCTTGTCAAGTGGGCTTGTTACTTAATAAAAGCTTCAGTACAAAACGTAGCAAACAAGTGCGCCAGGGTGGCAGCATTGTAATAATGATAGTATTACTTGGCATTGACTAGCTCTAATCAAGATATGAAATCGAAGTGCGCCATTGTAGAGATCATCAAATGTTCTGCACAGATGCAGTTTCTTTTCTTGCACCTAAACCTTCATATACACGTGTTTCCAGTATTTCGCCGCCAACGAAATGTACCACCGCAGATGGGGTCGAGACAACGTCTTTCGGGTCAGCAGCAGAGGACGCAAACCCCTACGCCATTATCGTCGCCATTATGATCATCGTGAGGGAAATTAAAGGTTGAATGTTGAGTCTATAGTACGCTAAAAAGTTGCAGTGATGAGCAATATATTCGTGACGCTGCAGGGAACATTCAAAAATAGGCAAACTGTAGAATAATAATTTGGCAGCACTTACAGAGTACCTGCTGCAGCCACTGCCACAGCACTCACCTATTTTCCCTCTCTTAAGAAGGGAAAGCTTCATGAGCATATTGCTACTTTCATGCATAATGACACTCTCGGTGACTAAGAGCATGTGTTCCTGGTGAAGAGGGTGAGGTCCTGTCTCCGTTCGCTCCTCATCTGTCGTACAAGCCGCAACTGCCAGTTACAATATGCTTTAATTACACCTTAGTAGATCTGGCGTCCCTTCTCACACGTAATGTCCGGTGCAGGTGCTTAGATGAAACGGCGCCGGACTCGCCACCTCAAACTCCCGTCGAACGATGCGTTTCACGTTCTCTTGTAAAGGCGGTGTGACATCGATATCGGTTTAAGTTGATGTGACAGCTGCGTTTGGTAGCCGCGAAAATTGAGGCAGAACGTGGCGCCTTTTCGCCATTTCGAAGCAGCCGCCCTCTTTAATGATGAGATGGACAGTCATGACGTTGGTGTAGAGAGGCAAGATCAAAGCGTCGTCTGCGATATCCTTGAGTATGTGCCCCACCTTGTCACTGTCGGTTTTTTTTTTCATTCACTTTCCGGCACACTGACACGAGCACGTGCTGTATGTAGAAGACATATGACTTGGTTGAGTACTGCACACGGGTGGCGAGCTCTTTCGCACAGCCATTTGGTGACCGAATGGGTACTCAAAAATTTCGCGTAGTCGATCCTAGATGATGTCCCAATATCTTGTTTGAAAAAAAACTTCCAGGTCATTTTTTTAATATCACAGGCATGTTGCAAGAATAATTTAGTCGCACAATGTCCTCCTGTGAGAACATGTCATAAAGAGATTTCAAGGAAGCGTAAAATTGCTTTCAGTTCTTTGATAACAAATCCACATAGCAAAACGCACACAGCTATTTCAAGCAGTGTTTTCTCATGTAAACGTTGATGTTGAATTTATGTCTGGAATACAAGGCGCTTCACCTGAGGTATACAACGTTAAACACACCAAAAAGTTTGTAAACTTAAACTTGGCGTTGCTATGACATTTATGGAGACTTCTTTGAACGCATTAGTGCACGTAACCACAAAAATTCGCTCTGAGGTTTTTTTCTTCATTTCAAACCAAAACGAATGCAAGCAACTGTGTTGTTGCATGGTAAACGCCATTTTCCACACATACGGGTAATCACTTCTTGTGATATTCAGAGTCGGTTGCCTCCGCTTTACAAGCGTCATGAACTAAAATGAGCGGAATGCATCAACTGGTAGGTCGGTAAAGTTACCATAACCAAAAATTTGATGAACATTACCATGTCTCTACTTTTTTGCCACGCGTGTCATGAACTACTCAACGGCTGCGCACGTCCTGTCTTCTCGCTGTCACATTATCGTTATAGCCGGTATTACTTCAATGAACCAACATGTTGGCAAATAGCGTGTTTATTATCATACTTTTGTCCTCACAAATTGAAGGCTCCGTCTCCACCTTGGGGGGGGGGATTAGTGAGATGGAATTCACACGACACGAGCCAGGAACGCTTGGAACAAGAGACTCTTTGAATTAACTACTCAAAAGAGTCATAGCCAGCTTGCCGGACCGGCCTAACACGGCACTAACACACACAAGAGGACCAAAAGCCTTGAACGAACAATCACCGCAGACTGATGGTCAAGGGAACTTACGGCGCGAAACATAACAACAGAAAATCAAACTCAGACGCATCTCACAATAGAATACGAGCCATCCACTCGACTTGGCGGACGCCCCATACCAGCGTGGCCTCGGCTCTGCAGTGCTCATGGAGGAAGCAAAAACCATCGCACCTAGCGCGGCCGTCCTCGAATCTTATAGCCCCACAACCCGAAAGCCTCCGGGCACGTCTCACCTCCCTTCTTATCGGGTCGCCAGTTTCCACCCCCTGTGGCTTTTGCGACGCTGACACTCATCATGCGCATGGGCAATGCTAGTGTGTTTTCCTCGCCCTGCTTCCAACTGGCTTGCTGCAGATGAGAAACCATCGGCCCGGAAAAGTTGTCTGACTGGCTGCAATGAACCACTATTCAAAAATAACGCATGTCATGCAGTAATGTCTACTGATCTTTATTGAGTGATGAGGCGTTGCTTTCTACAATCAATATAATGTAAATGATGAATCTCCTGTTGTGTTTCCTCTGATTTCAAGCCTGCGCTATAATCGCAAGCCCTGCGACGCAGAAAATTGCCCAAAAATAGCCTACGCCCTGTCGTATTTCTTGTCCCTGAAAATTTATGTGTATGACCTGAATGACTTCGACGAACCAAATAGGCAATATATGGCACACGTGCTCTCGTCTCTATTGATTCTGTCGATTAGGTTCTTTAACGTCCGATACAGGAACCACACAATTAACCCATGAAGTTCATATTTCTTGTCGCTTTGGATCTTTGAATTCAATTACTGCATCTAGCCGCCAGCCGAACAGCAGCATGTATCTTGTTCTCCGTCTTGATCCCGTAAACTCAGAGCTATCGTCGTGATTGCTGCAACAAACCCCCCTAAAAATGCTTGTTTGATGTTCTTTTTTGTCATCGTTGTTTAAAGCTACAAACTTAATTGCCAAAAAACTGTTTTAAACAGGACGTCACTTAACTGAACATGCTACTCACAGAAACTACTTCGCTCAAATTGTATTTAAAGAAAAAGGTGGACCAGTAGTCGAAATTTTAGTAATACCCTGAATAAAAACTTCTGACGTTTTTTTTACGCTGCTTATGATTGGTACTTCAACAAAAAAGTAAGCACAAAAGCTTAGAGGATACTCTTTACTTTGACGACTGCAACGCGATAACGGTATCAAGCGCGAGACGCACCACCTTCTCACCTACCTGTCATGTATGACACCTGAGTCGACATTTCTACCTCTTTCTGTGAGACCACAGCAAGCCTTTCTCTCAAGACCTCTTGTATGACGAGCGTGCAATGGTTGATAAGATCTCCATGGGTGTTTGTTAATAAAAATTTCTTTTGCATTTTTTTTGCTCCTCCTCTTCGCCTCTCTTGCTTTTTATACTGTCCTCTATGTTGCCTTCTTCTTGCAATAGAGCTTGAGTTGGTATTCTGCACCTGTCTGTGCTTTTCTATTTGTGTTTCCGTTCGCTTTTTGAAGAGTTATATAATGAAAATTATCAAGTTCCTAATTGCAGCATGTCCGCATCCGGATTCTAATCACCTTTCACTGCGTCTCAATTCTGACCACCATCGTAGTGACTCACTTTGCAGGTTTTGGGTTCTGATGGCCGAATGTTAAGTGGTGTACTTATATGGGTGGTAGTGGGCAAATACTACACCAGTGTGGCCGATATTTTCTACTGTGGGTGCTCATTACAC